GGAAAAGTATCTGTCAAATGCCTACTCCAAAAGGTTATCTTCCCTTCACTTCCAAGCACTTCAGCCAATGTTTTGCTTCTGCAAACAGCAGGACAAAAGCAGAAACTTTCCTAGACACCTGAAACTTTTATTAAGTAATATACATATGCTCCAATTATAAACCATAATCCCCTTCACGGTAGGTTCTTGTCACAAATCCCCAGTGCTTTTTTTCCAGTACCCACCCATACACACAGGTATGCAGTGATATGCCTGAACTTTTAGCTAGTACAGCCTATTACTTCATAAATGTTTTAACAACGAAAAGTACAAAGCCCAGTTTTACTTACTTCTATTTCAGGTCCACCAACCCAACGAACAGCAGGCAACTCATTCTGGAGCAGCAAGTGATTTGCCTCATCATCAAAACCCCACTGGCAAATGGCAAGGTTTGCACCAGTGTCTTTTATCTAAAAGCAACAAAAATCATCAACCTTTTGATCAGAGCTAACAAAGGAATGAAAAACACTTCATGGTTTTTATTCTCCCTATTTTCTCAAAAGACAATTCTCAAGAAGAACTCTGTTACACACAGAGATCAAAATACATTTTAAACCATGTTGGTATCTCTTTCTTACATTAAATTAACTTTGATTCATAGCATTAAAACTGCTTGTATGTTGCTTCCCACCAGAATTAGCAGCTCATTTAGAGGAACAAATCAATGCACTATGCTGGTTTTTTTTAAAGGCTATGAAAAACAAAGAAAACAGAAATAATCCTGAAGGCTACCTGCTTCACCATCTCTTCAAACTTCTCTTTTTCGTATTTCTGCAGTGCCTTGTAATCATCCACAGATGTAACATCAAGCTTGTGTTTGGTTTTAGGCTTAGGTGGCTCAAATGGACAAGTAAGGATTGCAATTTTAGCATCTTTTAGCTCCTGGCAAGTAAAAAAAAAAAAAAAGATGATTTTTGACCTCATTAACATATCTTTCTCGTATTTGCAAAACATACAGATGTATCATTATAAACACAAACACAGGAAAAGGTGTGAAGATCATTTGACTTATTCTACAGTTAACTAAATAATTCTGTCAATAGTCTCAATAAACCACTTGCAGCAAATTCCATAGCTCCAAGTTTAAGCCCTTAACAATCTTTACCAGTCATGCCTTATAATGGTACAATGTTTAAAAAACGAAAGAAAAAATCACTTAAACCATCCCTATCCACTGTGACCACTGAGACTACTACTCATCTTTGTAGCAACTTTTCAGCTATTACATAACTGATATTTTCTACCAGCCTTCCTTTTTACAGGATAAACACTGTCACCTGCTAGATAAATACCTTAAAACAGTAGTAGTACACTGCCCAAAGACTTGGAGACCTTACCTATGCCAAACATAAAACAAGGACAGCTTCTGTTAGGAGTGTTCCTAACAGGACAACATAGCAGCCCATAACGTTAAGAATTTTGACACTGCATTGCACTAAGCATATTAAGCATATCACACACCAAGGACAATTGTTTCTACATAACACAGAACCCTGCACCAGGATAGCAGTACAGTACATTAATTCCTCCCAGTACAGTAACTCCTCCCTTCCACCACAAGTTCTCAATATTGTTGGTTGTAAATTCTAATTCAGTCTCTTCCAATATAGAAAATTTCATGTTCTTTGCCTCTTCCTCTGTTGATATATGGGTGAAAAGCCAAGCCAAACCACAAGACTGTATAAATATTTAATATATACTAGGGCAACGTTTGAGGTAGGCTAGAAATTCTTATTTAAGCCATTACACACAAGAGACACACACACAGAGGCATCACTTACTTTAGGCATCTGTGGATGACTGAAATCTTTATCCACAATCACTCCTTTAACCAACTGTGTATCTTCCAGTCTACCACCCACTTTGCCTTGCACTTTGATCAACTCAAAATCAACATCTTTACGTTCCATGTCTGCTACTGTCAGTACAGCATTCACAGCGATCTCTGCCATTTGCCTATGACAGCGGTTCACTCTAGGTTTGAAAAAAAATATAATCAAGTTGTACTCCATTTCCACAATTTGGAAGAAAAAGGTGATTCTATCAATCTTAAAAAGCGAGAAGTACCACTATAGTAATCAACTTTTAGACAATGTATTAAAAGAGGTGGTCCTGCTTGTTTGTTCACAGAAATAGAAGGTGCTGGCTATGGCAGAAAACAGAACACACAATATGGTCAGTGTGAGGAACCTTTATCAAGGGAGTCTCAACACAGATTTTGAACAAGTCAGGAGAACTAAACTACTAAAGAACCTTCAAAAAAACAGAAACTACTCATAAGACAATTCTCCAAAGGATGCCCTTCCAATGTCTGAATTCATGAACTACACACAGAACCCATAAAGGAAACTGAACCATTCTAAGTTAAATCTTTTTTAGTGGAAAAAAACCCAAAAGATGACATGTTACTACTTTTAACAGATTTACATTACTTTTTGAACCTGTTATGATGCAGAAACCTGGAACTATCAGGTTAGAATGAAATTGATGCTACAGCTGTTCAATTTCATGGAATTGACCCTTTGGTGACAAAGGACTTACAATTTCTTATCCCAAGACAGGAGTCCACTGAGGAATTAGGCAAAACAAAACATAGAAGAGCCTTCAGCATCACTCCAATAACACAAACAATTTAAAAATCCACCAAAACACCAGGATTTCTCCTTTCCAGGTAGAGGGTTTTCAACAGAAGGGTAAATATTCATTCAATATTCAGTTTTTGTGACTTACACTTTAGAGCCCAGAGTTGTCTTTGCTGTCTGGATCAGAGGCTCAATGTTCTGTGGATCAACTGGGAAGCTGTCACTGATTTTGTCTAGATGCTCAATGGCAATTCGTGCTGCCTGCTCATAACCATCTGCTATTCTGATGGGGTGAATGCCTCGATCTAGCAACTGCTCAGCCTGTTCCAGTAATGCCCCAGCCAGAACTATTAAAAAAAAAAATAAAAGTTTTACTCTTGATTGGAGCATAACTTTAAGTACATTATCAACAGATTAAAAGGACCACTTTTTGATTTTCCTGCAATATTTTAAAAATTCAAGGTTTCCTAAATAGCAAAAAAAAAAACCAAGAAAAACCCCTACCTGCTTTGCTTAGAAAGAAAACCACATTATGTTAAGAACAAAATAAAATCCAGGGATCAAGGAAGGACAAAAGAGATTACAGAAGAAAATTATGCAGAAAACTTTTCAAAGCATCAAGGGGGCTCTCAGCACTACCTTAAAATGTAACCAAACTTCAAAAATACACAAAAGACTTCTTCCTGATTAGAAGACTTCTAATACAAGAACTGACAGGAATACAGCAAAAATAAATACTCCAAAGAAGTGCTACAGAAAAGCTACTGTTATTTCTCACATTTTTTTAATAGCTGAAGCAGCTTGATTTTAAACCTGAAAGAGGAAGCTAAATTTAAAATACTTTCTTACCAACGACTCCAGTAGTTCCATCCCCAATCTCATCATCTTGAGATTTAGCCAGCTCCACCATAAGCTTGGCTATCTGGTGATCCACATCCATCATATTCAGGATGGTAGCACCATCATTTGTCACAGTCACCTCACCATCCTTGTCCACCATCATTTTATCCAAGCCTAAAAAACACGTGTTCAAAGGATGAAGGAAAATTTTGAAAATCCTCCCAACAATTACTAAGAGGGAACCACTAAAAGTTTTTCATTATTACCATTGGGCCCAAGGGATGTTCTCAGAGTACTTGCTACAGCCTTCGCTGCCATTATGTGAGACTGTAAAACAAAGAATAATAAAGACAGAAATTAAATCATTATCATACATTCTGAAATCACAATATTAAGCTAAGGAAAACACAGCAAGTGGTGCAAATGCTGTAATTTAACTAACAACAACTGTGATTGGAAAAGAATGTGTGTATTGGTTTTATGACAGGAACACTTCCTGTGCCTTTTCTCATATTGCTTGCACTGGCTCTGCCTAAAGCATGCAAAAGCAGAGCAGCCAAATGACAGCCCTTACGCTCAAAGCAGGGAGCAACAGAAGCCGGCAATACTAAAAAATAAGGCACTGGAATTTTGCCCATCATAGAATCATCGAAGGATGGTTTGGCTTGGAAGGGACCTTGAAGATCCTGCCCTGTCAAGGGCAGGAACACCTTCCACTAGACCGGATTGCTCAATGCCCCATTCGACCTCCCCCTGAACACCCCCAGGAATGGGGCATCCACAAGCTCTCTGTTCCCGTGTCCACTCCTTTCCTCGTCGGGATTTGTACCACAGGCACTCAGCCCCGGCCTTCCTTCGGCGACCGAGCTTCAGGCGGCGGTCTAAGGAGGGGAGGGCAGTAGTGGGGAGCTGGGCCGGAGCCACGGGGAGGGGCGCGCTGCACCCACGGGGGTAAGGGCCCCAAAGCCCCGCGG